ATCTCTCAGATCCCTAGTTTGAAGCACTTGAATGTGAAGAACTGTATAACTTCTTCAATTTGGAACAGTCTTTTACCTTCCCAGTATAGCTAATTGTGTGCAGAACTTTTCCTGTATTTTGTTGTTGATGCTTTGGAGGTCACTGAGAGAGGGGTCCCTGCTGATACACAACATTCGTTGGATTGTGCTCATCTCATTTGACCAGTGGAATATGAAACAACTAGTAGATTGTTTTTGAATTTTCATAGGAAGCGAATATAGTGCTTAGACACCCCTAAGAAGGTAACAAAAATAAATCAACATTCTAAAGACTCGTTCATTTTTTAAATATTTAAAATATTTATAAGAAACTTAGAGTTTCCATGCTCATCATCACTGTCCTTTAGGATGCCTGTTATGTTCATTATTATTGTCTTGTTAAACAAAACAAAACCAAAAGAACACACACCACAAAAAGCCAAACTCCTGGAGACATCCCTGTGTTTACCACTGAAAGGTTGTTATGGATTGTCTGTCTGTTTATGCATAAACCCAAATAACTGGAAAAGTCCCTAAGAGAATACAAGCTTCAGAAAACTCATATTGTTGTTTCTCTAGGTTAGCTAGTTTCAAAGTGACCCTGAGTTTTCAGAGGCACTGTTAGGAAAATCTTATCAGTCTCCATTGCATGAGTGGTCATTTATGCTATTAGGGTAATAAGTAGAATAGATTTAACATGATACAAACACTAGATTTGACTAAGCTTCTGGGAAACTGCTGCAAATTCACTAAGTTAATGGCTCAACCTCTCAATTCTCCATCGGAAAATAAATTTTAATGGTTTTACAGACTCAATCTGCATTTCAGGATGTGAATTTCCCCTAACTTCACACTACTTGACTCCTGTTAAGTGCTGAACTTAAACAAATAAAAACTTATTTTCCCACATGGTTCATGGATCTATACTGACACCGTTTCCCCCTCTGTGAAAGAAGAATATAGCATTATTCATCAAGTATCAGAGCAAGGAAGCTGGAAATTTGAACATAAGAAGGGCATTAAAAGTACCAGCAAATATATGGGAACAGAAAAACAATGTGGGGACACAGAAAATGCATATGACACTTAACAGACTGAAAAGAGGCTTAGAGGGCATTAACAGATATAATATCCAGTTAGGCCAGCAAGACAGGAGCAAAAAAAAATAAATGTCTGGATTCATCCTTAGAAAGTGTTGAAATTCTGCATGAACAGAAGCCTTTTGCACAACTGTGCTAGGTTACAGATGCCAAAATTGTGGATTTGGGCTCAAAAGAGCTGTTACCTGCTTCACAGCCAAAGCTCCTACAAGCCTATGCCAGCCCAAGCGTGGAGATGTTTACCTTGCTGCAAGCCATCTCCAAGTATTTTGCGCAGCAGTATTTTGTTTGGGAGATTAGAGGGTTGGTAGGAAGAAAAGTTTTCTTAGGAGATAAGAGATTTTTAACAGGCTTTTGTAACATCCTAGACTTTAATTATTAGTAGGAAAAATAGTCTGTGAAACTCCAAGAAGCAAAGACTACTGTATGTGCTAGTAAAACCACGATTTCTGGTAAGAATTAGCTCCAAAGTGATGGAAATTCTGATTTTGACATTCAAGTTTGGTAGTAATGAAACAAGTCTCTGGATTTTTGCTGCTTGGCTGCAGCACAAAAGCGTTTTCCATCCAATCAGTGTACAGGACACGCTTTCGTGGGTTTCTAATCTTGTTCTTTTTGTGCCTCGTTCTGACTTTCTAAACAACGCACATTGTATTAGCAGAGCCATGCATATTGATGTTTCCTAGTATTACAGAGAAAAGGGATTACTGATCTCCTTGCTCCCATTATATGTTAGCATTATCTCCCTTCAATGGATTACTTGGAGTTTATAGGCGTGCCCCAGAGCGATTTGTAATCACCATCTTTAGCTCTTCTGTCCTTGCAAAGAAAATACTAAATAGTTCACTTGCATGTCTTTGCCGTGCACTTTAATGACACTGCAAATAATGAGTAGGCGCCAGATTCTGCTCTGCCTTGTTACGTAAAAAATCCTGGAATGACCAGAAATCATAGTATTATTTTGTGTGTGGAGCAAAACAGAACACAGCCTGAAACAACTGGAAAATCCCTGAAAACATATCAGGAGAGCTTTTGCTCTCTTAACCAGTAATTTCAAGACAGCAGGTTCCCCACTCACCTCCTTCCTATGGCTCTGAAAGTTGTGGCAGGATTACATATTAAGTCCTTCATCTCCTCTGTATGCTTTGGTGAAGGAGACAGGTACTGATGTGTGGGAAGACATTACAGCTATAAGAGCAAAATTCAATTGTGGAATCCTGTGGAAACCTCTGAAATCCTGTAAGGAGAGGCTTTGCTAGTGGGTAGGGCTTTAGTTGGCTTCACACAGGGAAGATGGTATTTGCTTTTGTTACTGGGCTTTCGTACACTTTGTTTTTCCCTAAGAGCAAAAGTCTTTAAGAAAAATTTGCAAGGCTACCTTTCTTTTTAACTTTTTTTGCTGGGGATGGTTATTACTCATCCCTTACTTCAGTGGGTTTGTGAAGTAAGCACTTCACAAGTAAGTAAGTCCTTTGCAGCCCCTGATTGCAGATCCTGTTAGATAATCATTAGCAGTTCTGAGGTACATTCTTCTATCCCAATCTAGATCTCTTATTTGCTTGATCCTTCACCACATGCCTTTTCTTGCAGGGAAGAGAGCCTCCAAAGTCTGGGATTCATGCTGCAAAGCATCAGCTTGGAGACTGAAAGAGATTCTTTAATAAACTGCCATGGTCATGCTACACAGCAGAAATCAGGATGCACTGCTGAAAGGTTTGCTTTAATGTCTAGACTATAGATGTTTGCACTGGATAACACTTGTTCAGATATCGATTGTGGGGAAAAAGTCTCTCCTTTCCAAGTCAGCTTTTATGTAGGAAGCAGACAACATGAGAGCATCCTGGATATTTGAAAATATAAAGTCCTGATAAGATAATACACCTCCACTTCTATTAATACTGCTCTTGAAAGCTAGGAAACAGAAAATGGCAATGAGTGTAACAAATACTTCAGTTAATGTAAGGGGAGAACCAAGAAACAGTAGCATTATCCACTTTATTCTAGAGAATTTACTGTGAGAGATGAACAGAGTGTGTGACAGATTTAAAAAAAAAATGTCATTCAATGCACCCTAATGCCTCTACAAGAGAAATGCATGCTTTGTGCATTTTATGCATTTTATACATTTTATGCATTAAGTTTTATGACTGAATTTCAGTATGCAGGTATGAACAACATTGCCAGTGGAAAGTCCCGCTTGGTGATTACCAGATTATGATGTTGTTTGAACTTTCTTGCTTCAGAAAATGCAGTGTAGCCTTTGACACTGAAGTTTAGCCATGATCCTTCAATCTCATGCATATGTCACTATTGTGCTGTATTAATTTCACAGAATTTAAGAAAGATTTTGAAATAAACAATGTTTATTTTCATCTTTCTCTCTCTGCAATGTATTTTTGAAGCCTTGTTAAACATTCAGTTACATATATATATATATGTATCATCATCATCATGGCTAGGCTTTACGAACAAAGATTTGGGATATATGTATGTATATATATATAATATATATATACATGAGTGGCATTATTTGCTCCTTATTTCCTTACTTTGGAGAGACTTAAATGTATGATAGTAATAACAACATTTAAAAAGCAGTTTCGGCAGTTTTTCTGGATGCATGAGATTTCTGTACCATTTAATTTGCTACCAGCAAAAGAGTGAAGAATTGATGTCAGAAATAGTTATGAAGAATACCTAAAATATAAATTTAGCTTTTTTTTTTTTTTTTTTTGCCTAAACAGAACCAGGCAGTAAAGAGAGTGACTTCTCTGGCTGTCCTGCTAGATAGTTTGTGAGCTTCAGTAGTTATCAATACCCACTGGATTATACACAGAAATATTTTTTAAAAAAGTCTGTTTCTGTGAAGAATCTTCATGAACTCTTATGTGCATTTGTTGAAAGAGGCAATGACATGAAATAATGTAGTCTTCCCAAGATTTTATTTTATGTATAAATCACAGCATTTACATCATCCATGAGACTATGGACATAAGGTTGTGATGCACGAACGGTCAAGATGGTGGTGATACTGGTGGGGAAGTAAGAATGAAATTGTTTGAACAAAACTCTAAAGCAAACATGCATTTTTCCATTTCCATCTAAGCATCAGGCCTCATTATCTGCCTGCAACATTTGTGGAATGCACTTTGCGTATTTTGATGAAGCAGCTTCTTATACAGCCAGCCAGCTACCAAGGAGGAAGGTTTGTGATTTGCATCAAGTTACTGAAATCGGTTTACCAGATTGCCTCTCCCGAGATGTAATGATTTTCTTTCAGCAGAAAGTGGCGCTGTTGATCAGCAACAAAGTAGTGCCGCGTCCTTCCAGCAAAGGGATGATCAATCCGCCGCCGCTGCAGCCATTCTTTGCCGGACTTCGAAGAAGCAGCCATCTGGAACTTATTCCAGTATTTGAATTCAGCTACTTTACTGCTTAACAGTGACCTACTGAACAGTTTAACCGTGTTATTCTCCCCCTTTTTATGTAAATCAGAGAAAACAGACGGAGAAAATAAGAGGTGTAATGCAATACAGAAAGTTTTGCTAGCAGCATTAAAGCATAGCATGATCTGTTAAATAAACCCCAAAACCCCCAAAAAACCTGAACAAAACCCATCAAAATATCATTTGGGGAAGTCAGAAAAAGGGTGTTACAGATTAAGTAAGAAAAAGATTCGGATATTTATTATCCAGGTGTTCCTAGACTTTTAAATATTTCCATTCAATGTGGACATTGTATGGGAAAAATCTTTCTTCTGCAGGAGAATTCTGAGTTCTGCTAAAAATATTTAGTGCCTCTAGTACTTGTGAGACATTGCAGACAACAGGCCTGTGCTCAAAAAAAAAAAAAAAAAGAACAGAACAAGAACCTGCATTATGATTTTCCTCTCTCATGCTCTCCTTATTATGTAGAAAAATAACACTTGTGATCAGAACTAGAAGACTGTTGGCATTTCTAGTGATAGCCTTAGTCAGGATTCCCACTGCACTGGTATTTCTTTTTCTCATGTTCTCTAGAGCTAACTTGAATAGAAATCACAAAATCACAGAACATGCCGAGTTCACATTTAGTGAACTGCTCTGAGATTATTATATCCACCAGGGATTACAGTCTTGTTTTTCCATGTGACTAAATGAACTCAAGGAGTGTTGCATTTTGTCCACAGGGTATTAGGACCTTATTAAAGGGCTAAACTGTAATTTGGATTCTTGGATGACAGGTTACCCACATGATGAGTCCAGTTGTGTAGTAACTGCTTACTTCCACCTCCTGTATGCAGAGTCTGTAGGGGCAGCTCTGCAGTCTTTCTCCTCTTCTGCACCAGTCTCTCATTCATCTTGCATCCCATTTTTGCTTTCCCAGAAGCATTACTGAGCTGGCTTGAGGACTGCAATCACAAACAGTCATGTCCTTTCTTGCCATCATTTTTTCTTCCTTCCACTACAAAGGTGAAAGAGGCAAAGTGTTATTGTTCTCATTTCCAGTGGGAGCTAAACCTTCAGTGTGGGAATATAAGAACGGCTCAACTAGATCAGAGCCAAGGGTCACCTTGCAAAGGATCACATGTCCACCTGGCAGGGGGATAGCAAAAAAAGTGTAAGAAAGAACCTAAGTGTAGGGCAATCTTTCTCCTGACAGGGTAATCCCATTTTGAGGCAGTCAGCAGTTTATGTCATGTCTAAGCAAACAATTGTCTGCTTTATAGTTTCTGCCCCTCTTGAATACAATTCCTCTTCAAATTCTTTACTATCTTTAACTTTCAAAGCATGTTACAGTAATTGATTGTATTCCACCATTTCGTGGGATGACACCTTATTCTTCTTACACTTAATTCCTGGTGAAAGGACTCTTGGGGCAGGGTTGAAAGGGATGCTTCTCTAGTTGTTTTATGAGGCATAAAGAATAATCATTTATTACCTATCTCTTCCACACATTGCTTTTCACAACTCTGTAGCCTTTTTCCATATTGGCCTCACAGTTTGGTTATCTCCAAGAGTCCTGCTCTATTTTGGCTCTGTGAACTATTCAGGATTTTAAATGTACAGAGAAGTCACCAGCACGTACCAAAGGAGAAAAATCAAACAATAGCTTAGAATACCAAATATCAAAATTAATACCTGAAAAAAGTAACACCCTCAAAACTGTGTGTATGCATTGATTACATGTCTTAAAGTCTCTTTGGCACCAAAGTGCACTAATTTAGAGAAGACAAAACTGAAATGCAGGCAAGTCAGGCTGCTTACCCAAGGTCACAGTGTTAGACGCGAGACAGTTCACAAGTTCTGGACCAACAACACTACCTGCCTATGCTCCTTACCCTTCTGGAGGTATTTACTTCCTCTTCTGCATGTCTTCATTACAGAATATTAGCACTTGGGTTTTACATTTTGGATGGTAATAGCAGAAAAGTCCTGACTCCAATTCATAGTACTAGATTCCTGTGAAGAAAATCCTGTTCAAGGTGACAAGGTTTACTCTTTCAGGTGATAAAAGTTTAACAGCTTAGTTGCTGTGAGATCCCCAGCTGCTTAGCTGGACATCCACTGGAGACATTAGAGATGAGAAAAGGTGACATTTCAAGATGCTGCTTGTATGCGAGAGCCTTCAGTGCAAATTACAGAATGTGAGACTGCTCCATCAGAAATCCTTGGAGACCATTGTTATTTTTCAAAGTGCTTTCAAGTGCTTTCACCAAATAGGCTTACCTGACATTTCTCTATGCAACTACTCCTTCTGTCTCTTTGTTCCTTTCCTGTTCTTCCTGTGACCTGTATTTTTACTTCCCAAATTGATTTCACTTTTCATCTTAAGGAAGAATACAAACTGTATAACTGTTTCTTTTCTTGGGCTTCTTCTTGCTAGAGGACTTGTTCAGTTCCATAGCACAAGAATAAGTTTACCATGAGATTTCCTACTTCTGCTGTTTCACTTAGTGTCATGACACTAAACATCATTAGAATATACACTGTGCTTTTAACTATTTTCGGCTTGTACCCACATAAGTCATGACCACATCTATGCATACATAAACAGAACACACACATGTGCACAGAAAACGTATGCAACCATACCAGTTGTTTCAGGATAAGATCTTCTTTCTGTATTGAGCTTTGACTTGGTGGTTAGATTAGATTACATGGTTTTAATAATCTAAATTACAATCTGAGGATTTTCAAAATATTGAAAAAAAAAGTTGCAAAAAATATCAGTAATATAACTGCCTAGTGATATGTGGAAAGTTTTGGTGTTCTGAAGTCTGCATTCACTCCTGGTTACACATAATTGGTAGGGTCTGCCCTACAAATCTCCCATTCCTTTGAAAGTGACTGAGACATCCCCATATTGTGGAGTGGACTAGACAGCCTTGAGGGTAAAGCATTTTCCTTGTCTGACTTAGTCATGCTGGTTTTATCCTGCAGCTAGTGCAGTCCTGGTAAACTGAAGTGCAGAATGCTGCAAGTTTGGTGGGGCTATTGTCATTTTTTACACCATTGCTATTACAAGTGATTTGCTGTGAGAAGAGTGACAAAAGGCTTGCACTAAATACTGATACTTTCTGCCTTTGAACATTATACAATTTTCATTGCTCCCCAAACAATAAGTGTGCTTAGAATAATAACAAGGACAAAAATAGAAACAGTAACGCTTTGTAACAGCTCATTCAGCTTGAAAATGGCACTTTCAATATAGATTAACTTGGGTTATGGAAGCAGTTCACACAGAAATTCCCATCACATAGGATATTTTTATTCATAGCTAGTATTCTTGTCTCAAGGCTTCTACATGAAGGATTTCTTCTGCAACTCAGTTCTCTTCTCATTTTTGGGATAGTATGTGCAAGACATTATTTTAGCATTATCAAGTTTTGGCAAATTGGTAGAGAATAGTCATGTTTTTGGGATAGATGTCAGGAAAAACAATTCTTACAATTTGTAACAGGAAAATTGTCTCTGTGTGTTATGTGAGAGGAACAGAGAGAGAGAGAGAGAGAAAGAGATGTGTAACTACAAGAACTGGGAGAAACTGATACAATACATAACAGTCACTAGTGATTTACTATTACAGGTGGACTTTACAAATGGTCTTTTTTAAACAGATACTCCAGAAACTCCAGTATTTTATTGACAATTTACTGTGCTACAATATTATTGGTGGGTATTTTGCATAGCTCAGTGAAATATGAAAGCATCTTTGGGCTTGGTCTGAGACTGTCCTGAAGGAAAAATTTATCTACCTTTTAGGTAAAAAAAATAACGAAGTTGGATAGCACCTGTGATGCAGGGATGAAACAGGAGTATGTGCCTCAACAAATCCATTTGACCTACTGAAACCAAACTGTCTGTTGGCTTTTATAAAGGATGTCAATTCATGAGGTATTTGAAAAGAAAATTAAATACTTGGTAGGTTCGATGCCGTGTTTTTAGACTTCAGTTTATCAACTGATAGTTTCTTTTGGGAAGCGGAAAGAACATTGCTGTTTTTATTTTTCTTTCCTGCCCTTTGGCAGTGTAAAAAGACCTACTCCTTGTTATGTATGAATTCACACTGATATCAGAAAAAGTTGTGCATGAGTGAATAAGAACATCACAAATGGTACCTGAACTGAAGAGTTCTATACATATCTTAACTTCAATAACTTCAATAATCTTTCATCTTTCAGCAGCACTTATTTCTTCTCCCTGAAATTGCAGTGATGCGGCATGATATTTCAAATCTGTGAACATCTGGTAAATTCCTGGAACAATTTTCATAGGATGTCTTCCAAAAGTGCAGGTCTTCCATGTATCAGAAAAACTGATATGTATGATTTGATAATTTGACCTGTTATTACTTTTAACATTCCTCCAGAATATTATTGGGGACACCCAGTAGTTACTGAATTTATTTGCAGAATTTAAAAATGATTTCTTACAAAAGCTTTACTTTTATCTATTGACTGTACCCCTTTTTTAAGCACACTTTCATGGTAAGTTACTTTAGTACTTGCTGCTTATGACATAAATAGGAAATGATTCTAGACTCTAAATATTAATCTCCTTATTGCCACTCTTTGAACAGAAAAAGAATGCACAGTGCCAGAGATTCAGCCCAGATGCAGTATTTTCCCATGATAAATATCTTTTCCTTTTCTTCAGCCCTGCAAAGTACTTTTGTCCTTTATTTTCCACTAATGCTTATGATAAAAAATTAAATTACTGTTCATCCTTTCAATAAGTTTCCCTCAGAGAATCTCTGCTAAAGAACAAACATTTAAAAGGAATGCAGAAACCTTAGTTTTATACACAGCCCTACTATATTATTCATTGCAATGCATTTTTAATGTCACAGAAAGAAAAGTAAAATATATTTTAATTTCTGGGACTAGGCAGCCAAGTGATCCAGGGAATCTCAAATTCACAAAGGCTGAAGACAAATGCATATAGTGCAAAATAAACCCCACACCAAGCCCCAACCCTCCTACCCTCCAGTAACCCGAAGGTTTTCATGAGAGATTTGTGAAAACTCTTACTGGTGGAAAATCTCCTGAGACTGTCGCCATGGTGCACAGACGCTGGGAACCTCTGACCTAGAAGCATTCGATGTGCTTCAGACACTCTTTTTTCAGTGAAGAAATAGGTCAGCAAGATTGAGATAATAAAACAAAAAAGGCTGAAAACAAAGCTGTACCTATTAACATAGCTGTTGGGATTACGATGGAGGTTTCTCCTGCCTCTTCTCCTTCTTTTTACTTCTTATAAAGAAACCAACCTTTTTTCTTTTTTTGTTCATAAACAAACACATTTTGACTAAATAATTGCAATGGTTTATTTGAGCTTCCTTTTTCGTGTTTGAAACCTGGGTACTATTTTACAAGAACAAAGAGTGACTAATATTCTTTACTTTGTTTATGAATTGTCAGGGCTAATGGTTTTCTTTGTGTTGTATTCTCTTGGAATTCAGCCATTTATCTTCAGTCGACAAGAGTTACAGCATCTAGTGAAGAATCGATTTACAAACCTCTCTGAACATAAGACTGCAGATTAAACTTTATGGACACTGTGTTCTTCAAACATGAACACACCTTTTATTCTATACAATAGTGGAATTGCATCATTGTTTGATATAATACATGAAAAGCAGAGCTGGATTTTCAGCTTTTGTTCTGCAATTCACAACAAAGAATCTAATCAACTGTAATTTTCAAGCATGCATTTTAAAGTTTGGAAATGTGTACGGTTAATGGATATTCCCATAGACTAAAAAACTTAATTTGCATTGTAGTCTGCCAAACATCTGACAGCAGCCCACCCACTACATGAGACAAAATTGATCAGAAATTCAAAAACAATAGACACAGTTTACTTTGAAATAGTGACTGTGAGGGCTAATCATTTAAAAACATAATTATTTTAATGGTGAAATCATCTTTTTACAAAAGCAATTCTCACAAATTTGTAACTTGTTATTATTTCAATAGTCCCTTATGGATTATTAGGAGAAGGATATGTCAGTGCAGGTAGTTGATGATTCTTGAAAGCAGACATTACTTTTTTTAAAACAGATGTTGTTATTCAGTTTCTTGACAAAAATACTAAACCCAGTTTAAATCTGGGTAACATCCCCCCTCAGCAATTTCTTTCTCTCATACTGTCCAAGGCAAAGTTCAGGGTTCCCTTGAGATGCACAGTTTGATTACAGGCTGCAGGTGGATTTCTCCTAAAGACATCAGGAGCTTTTATGGAATTTGCCACTTACCAACACTAAAAGGAAAAGAGAGCACTTTATTATTAATAAAGGCATTGGCTGTTAAACGTAGGAGAGTAGAAAATGCCACTGTTCATGAAAGCCCTGTGGGAAAGAAGGTTAAGTGAAAAAAACAACTCTGAGATTACAAAATTGGTTGTAGTTGAAATCAAATTCAATTTTAATAAAAGGAAAGTTCTATGAGGAAGATATTCAAGGTGCCATTTAGACATTTTTGCAGTCCATTAATTCATGTTGATGAAGAAATCTCATTACAGACTGGACAGGGTATATTCAAGAAACCAAAACTAAGTTCAGGAAAGAAAATTATTGGAAGATATAAAGACAGAAATAGTCAGATAAGTTTTATAAAAATTGAGATACAAAAAGAAATCATAGTTCTAGGGAAAGCTGAAAGTATGATGACATTGTAAGGAATGAAGACATTTCTAAAATGAGACTGATAAAAGTTTTGGAAACAAAACAGCACTTAAAGAGATCAGTAATCTAGACCTTTAAATTAGACTTGAAGAGGATGGGAACAAGGCCAGGCTCAACAGAGATGAGCTGTGGGAAAGGGAGAACTATAGTGACCATCCTATTAGCAAAAGGAGGGTTAAGAGGGAACACATCAAGCAAGCACAAGCAGCCAAAGATGTAACCAGAAGATAGGAATATGAGGCATCCTTTGTACCCCTGCTGGGATATTGACACAATCAAATACTTCTGTAAATTGCCTGTACTTTCAGAGGGGTCCAAGAGAGTTTGTTGATATTTTAAGATCACAGAGATAGAGATGATTAAGGGACCGGAGCATCTCTCTTATAAGGAAAGGCTAAGAGATTTGAGCCTGTTCAACCTTGAGAAGAGACAACTGATAGGGAATCTCATCAATGTCTATTAGTATTTGAAGGTAGGGTGTCAAGAGGATGGACCAGGCTCTTCTCTGTAGTGCTGAGCAGTAGGGCAAGAGGCAATAGGCAGAAAGGTGACCAGGCACTGGAACAGCTTGCCCAAAAAGATTGTGGAGTCTCCCTCACTGGAGGTATTCAACAACCATCTGAACACAATCCTGTGCCATGTACTCTAGGATGACCCTGCTTGAGCAGGGAGGTTGGACCAGATGACCCACTGTGGTCCCTTCCAACCTGAGCCATTATGTGATCCTGTGAATATAAAAATAGAACGAATGTACAAAATGGTTAAGCTGAGACTAATCACGGTGGCTAAAGAAAAATATGATGCTAAAGAAAATGTTGGGAGTATTTTGACTTTCCAGTCAATTTTGATGGAATTATGTATAAGGGGAAGAAGAAAAATAGAAGAACTGACTACCATCAATAATTGAACAGACTTGGTAAAAAGATTCTGCTGAAATATGACTCAGGAAAATCATGGCAATAATTTGCAGAGAGAAGCCATTTTAATGAGTAAAAGGGGAAGACATTTAGGGCAACCTCAAACCACACCTAAGCTGCACTGCCCGGGAATGCATGCTCTGCTGGCTATTGAAGAAAATGAGAAGGCCAATAATGATGTTTGTCCTTTTCATGGACTTTTGTTTCAGCTTGATTGGAAACATCGTGGAAAGCTGCAAAGTCACATGGCATTCAGAACTTATAACTGCAATTATGAAAGCTGTGTTTGAAGACTCTTGCAGCATTGTAAAAAAAATAATGAAAAATTAAACAACTCCAATGCTTGTTATAATATAAGGAAGCATAGAATCACTACAGCTTTTCATCATATTTTTAAACTAGACAGTAAGAATGATAAATGAGGTAGAGGGCATGACTTGAGATGATCTAAAGTTAAGGTCCTTAACTAACACAGATGACATCACACAGCTGAAAAAAAATGCTTGAATTATTGATGAATCAAATTAATAATTAACCTTGGAAGATTGGTTTGGTCAACTCTGACTCATAAAAAATGCCAAGGAGATGAAGTGGCTGCAATATGAAAAGAAGAAATAGGAAGGGCAAGTGAAATGTGGCATCTGTGAAGTCAAACAATACGCAAGACTCCTGTGTGCACAGAGGAAACTTGACTACTCCTGAGGTTTCCTTCAGAATAAAAATAAAAGATGTACTTCACAGCAACTGATAAAACTATAAACTGATAAAAACTTTACTTCTCAAAGGGCAAACATACCAAATCTGTGCACCAGCAGGCATCATTACACTATAGGCCAGGAGCAGTTACTTTACATGACAGAAACAACAATTTGAAAGATGCTGCATTTTCACAGAATCATAGAGTGGTCTGGGTTGGAAGAGACCTTAAAGATCACTTCATTCCAATGCCCCTATCATGAACAGAAACACCTTCCTCTAAACCAGTTACTTAGAGCACCATCCAGCCTGACCTTGAACGCTTTTTAAGTGAAAAGTTTAAAAGATTAGTATTAAGTGAATCTTAATGTGAACATTAAGTGAAAATATTTTATATGAAGAAGGTAAAAGGAGAATTCTATATGAAGCCAAGGAAAATAATTGGATATATTTAAAAGACGATGGCAGTAACCCTGTAGAAGTCATAACTATACACCAAAAAAAGCTACAATAAATCATGGAAATGCACCCAAGTGCCTACTGCTCAATTGTTTGTTAGCTGATATTGATTCAGGGATTAAGAAGGGAATGTGCCTGTGCAGGAATGACCTGCATAGCCTCTCTTATTTGAAAATATATTCTATGATGAAAATATAAGAAATGGATAACCAGTGGATAGCCTCATTCTCTGAAAAAATTATTTAACTTCTCTTGCCACGGATGAGTGGAATAGTATCCTTTGGGATAGTTTTTCTTCTTCAGACATACCGTACTAGACACACAGAACCTCTCCTGGTGGATCTCGCTCATATAAGGGAGTTTGAATGACACTTGTTGTGTACCAGATTATGCACCACTTGAAGGATTCTTTACCCTAGTTGTGATGTTTGCCGGTTTCACAATACAAAGAAATGCCACTTCACTCCTTGGGAGTGGGCTTGGAAGCTGATCAATCTGCTGTAGATATGAAATAAAAAGAAAATGCCTTCTCATTTTCACCAACCAACTTCTGTTAATGTGGCATTGTCTGTCTAGATAAAATTTAGGCCTTTTTAGCCTTGTATTTTTTGTTGTGTTCTCTTTTCTGGAAAAGACTCAAATATAGAAGTAGGGAAAAAAAAACCAAAGACCTTGTACTAATTTCTTTCCAGAACACGTGTATTCTATGGATGTTGCAGAGGGGACCCATGTAGCTGGGCCTCAAGGGCATGGTGAACTTTGGGGCAAGGTATCTCACATGCAGCAATGCTCCTCTTCCCATTCTTTATATTAGTGTATGTCACAGCAGGTAATTTAATAGACATCCTGAAACAGTGTTAGTCCCTCTGGTATATCAGCATCTGTTAAATGCTTTTCTTCTCAACTTTCTAAGTTTCAGTATTTACCCTCTGAAATGAATGGCTTAATTTCTCTCCCTTCTCATACAGAATAGTCTTTGGTCCTTCTACTATTTTGCTCTTTTGAGAAAACTGGTACCTGAGCATTTATCTGATAATTTCTTTGCTATTTTTGGTCCTACTTACCATGTAACTGAGTCTTTTCTGATTAGTGTGAGCATAAGAACTACCCAAGACATTTCAAATCAAACCTATGAGAAAAGTTTTAAATAGTCAGAAGCTGACAAAGTCCTTTTTCAAGCATTGCTTAATGCTTTTCTTTTTCCTTAATTTGCCCCATCACTGTTCAGAAAGGATCCACAGAATCCGGTTGCCCTGTGTGAAGGGATATATATTATCAGTTTAAGTATTGCTTCAGCTGCCTAGAGTTCAATAATGTAAACCTTGCTGCATAACAACTAGGGGAGAAATATTAAATTCAGAACACATACTTGTCTTGTGCTTTAACCCCAGTCGGCAGCTCAGCCCCACGCAGCCGCTCACTCACTCCCCCAGCAGGGGGATCGGGGAGAGAAATGGAAGAGTAAAGCAGAAAACTCGTGGGTTGAGATGAAGACAGTTTGATAGGTAAAGCAAAAGCTGTGCATGCAAGAAAAGCATAACAAGGAATTAATTCACTGCTTCCCAATGTCAGGCAGGTGTTTAGCCATCCCCACAAAACCCAGACTCCTTCATGCACAATGTTGACTTGGGAAGATGTGCTGATTTTGGCTGGGGTAGAGTTAATTTTCTTCAGTGGCTAGTATGGGGCTTTGTTTTGGATTTGTGCTGAACAGAGGGATGATAGTATGGAGATCTTTTTATTATTGTTGAGCAGTGCTTACACAGAGACTGGGCCTTTTCTGCTTCTCATACTGCTCTGCTGGCAAGGAAGTTGGGGATGCATGGGAGATCGGGAGGAGACACAGCCAGGAGAGATGACCTAAATTGACCAAGGGATATTCCAGACCATATCACATCATACTTAGTATATACAGTGGGAGGAGAAGAAGGAGGAAGAGTGGTATGTTTTGAGTGATGCAGTTTGTCTTCTTAAGTAACTGTCACATGTGATGGGGCCTTGCTCTTTTGGAGATGGCTGAACATCTGCCTGCCCATGGGAAGCTGTGAATTAATTCTTTGTTCTTTTTTCCTTGTGCGTGTGGGTTTTCCTTTTCCTATTAACTGTATTTATCTCAACCATGAGTTTTCTGGCTCTTACCCTTCCGATTATCTCCCTGATCTCCATGGTAGGAGAGTGAACAAGCAGCTGCGTGGGGCATGGTGGCTGGCTGTGGTTAAACCATGGTAGATTACAAATGTCACCACTCCCAGCATCCCCCCCTTTCTACTTCTTGCCCCAGCACTATATGCTAAGTATGACACTAAGTATGTAATATCCCTCTGCTCAGTTGAAGTCAGTTGTCCTGGCTGTGTCCCCTCCCATCTCCTTGTGCACCCCTTACCCCAGTCAAAAACAGCACAACCTGCCACTGCAAATTTAGAAATGCAAATTAAAAAAGGAAGCACATTCTTTCTGTCAAAGACTGTGCATGGGGGTGTGCCATTTTGTACTGCCAGCATCTAACGATATTTCAGTCTTCTCACTTGCTTATCAGAAAGAAACACATTTGCAGGACTGGAAATGAACACCTTTACCCCTTTCAAAATCACATATTATTTAAAATTACAAAATAGTACTTTGAAACTTGCTACATAAATTCTGAAAAATGTGTAATACTTGCCCTACATCATAACCAAATTAAACTCCAATCCACTATGCATGGGGAACTTTGCCAGCCAGCTACATAGAGACGATAGATGTCTTGATACACTTGTGTAGATCTCTAAGACATCAGTGAGGAACAAGTGCAAAGATCAAGGGCAGTCAAGTCTTTTACAACCCATTCATTTTATTTCAAATCTGCACACATGTAATTCTGGCTGACATACTCTCTTAACTACAATATTGCAGAAAAACCCTTTAAGACCCTATTATTCGAAGTGTAAGCTTGTTTTAAACATGCTGTTTTCTTTATGTAAAAACTTAAATTGGTCAAGCTGTCACAGGAATTTTAATTTTTTTTTAATTCCTTTTGTTGTAGATTATCTACAAATAAACAGGTGTGATTTTACAGATCATTTATTCAGAATCATTTAAGTGTGATGCATGGCTTCACAACATGTCTGCTCTGATTCCCCAACATTTTTTCTGTTTGATTGTGCAAATTCCATTTTTCTAGCTCTGCCCCATGAATCATTTCCAAACAGAAATTTCTAAACAGAAATAACAAAAGTCAAGGTACAAGACAATAGAGAGAGTATTTTGGATGCAAAATTTTTGGCACATATTTTACATGTGACTTTCATCTCCTGTCACTATGGATTTTTTCTGAGAGGAAAAATGGTCTGCCAAATATGGAGCTCAAGAGCAAGAGAAGTCTGAGCTTTAATTCAATGTTCCTAAATTCTTTTTGTTGATGACAAGTATTCATTGCAAACTTTTCCTATTCTTCTGTCACAGCACAAATTTAGAAAGCCTAGAAACTTTCTAAAGAGAAGCATTTTTTAGTTTTCCAAAACTGTTTCCAACAGCAGTCTGGTACCTTTTGCTTTAGATAGGCAATGAATAAACTACATATTTTACACTCTTAGCAGCAAGTTTTTCTCAAATATTCTGTTCATAGAATTCTTAATTGCAAACTCTTTATATAACAGCTACTGGCACATCTGCAAATACATTTATAAATGTTTTAAAGCTTGCTCTTCGTTACTAACTCAAAAGGTTAAATAACCCTTCATGCAAAGTAGTCTCATAAAATAATGAAGAAAGCATGATTTTACTTGCTTTTTTCCAGAGATTTCTGGTATTAAAAAGAAGTGCAACAGGAAATAAATAAATAAAGAAAGAAAGAAAGAAAAAAAGAACAACCATACCCTAAACCACAGGAACATAACTTTGAGATTTCTAACAAGAACAATATGCTCTCTGCCTTTCATACTCCACTTCTTGACCTGAAGAGGTTACTTGACCTTCAGTCTTTTGGGATGCTGAATGTCAGTAAAAATGTGCTCTGGAAGCTAAAGAAAGGGAAAGTCTCTTAGTAGTTCATGGTAGTTGAATGGACAAGATGTCACAAGGCTAATTGAACTTCTATCCCAGCTCTATTAGTCACTTACCTCTATGACCTAAGATGCTTCTCTGTCTTCCACTCCAAGTTTTGGACTGAAATGTCTGATCAGGCTAAAATAGTTTTGGAGACATATTTGTTGAGAACTTGACATGATGAAAGGTTGAGCACGTTTTGATCTGGCTTCTTGCCAAACTTCCAAGGCTCAGCAAAAGCTTTTTATGTCCCTCCCCCTTTAGGAAAGGGGAAAAAAGTCTGTAGAAACTGAGAGAAATTGAAACCAACTGAATTATACCAAAATATATATGTATTTTTACATATATTACAGTTATATACAGTAAGAATATTATGTACAACTCCCAAGAAGGGGAAGAGGGGAAGGGAAAATGGGAAAAGGGGACAAAAAGGGACAAAAAAGGAGAAAACAAAACAAATATGCACAATCAAAAAGCTCAGAGACTAGCAGAATAAAGAATTAGCAAAAGAATATCTTACTACTCTCCTTGGGACAGCAGAAGTCACGCTGAATGACCGCCGGCACCCTCTGCCTCCCAAGGTCTACAAGGCCTCACTAGGCCTCACTACTCCACACAGCAGAACCAACAGCAGGGAACCTGCACCTTCAGAGCCACCAGAAGGGAAGAGAGCAAAGGCCTCTCCTCCCTTCTTCTTTATACCCCCGGCTTACGTAAAAATCGTAGGGAATACTTGGGTATATGGCCACTTCCTTGGTTACAAACCGGTCACCAAGGAAGGCCTAGACTAAAACTACCACAAGAGTTGATCCGTTTCGGGTGCTTATGGACTGCTGCACAAGAATAAAATCATAAAGGGCTTTTAGAAGGCAATTAAAATTTTTGTTCTTTGCAAGGAAATTTGATTACAGCATATCCATTTCATTTTTCTCCAGACCCCTGTTATGGTTTTGCAGTTATTGACCCCCCTTGTTGTGCCAGTGCCAGATTTTCTGGGGAGGAGGTAGGGGAAAGCCATTTCTTAACATGGATCATTTCACTAATCTACTGCACAGAATCAAAAATATTTCTTTGGATGATTCAGAGGGATTGGAAGACAGATGATGCTGAAATTTGAGGTTATGTTGTTTCTCAGGACTCTGTGACAAAATACATGAAACTTAAGGAAAACTTTATGGATTTATGTCTCTATATATGTTGTTGGTTCAACCCAGCAAGCAGCTAAACACCACAGAGCTGCTTTTACACTTCTCCCCGACCCCATTCCCAGTGGGGGAAAGAAGAAATGGAAAATAAAAGCAAGAAAACTTGCAGGATCAAGATAACAACAACATAATCTATTATTATTTTTATCATTGTTATTATTAAAATAAAAAAATAAAAAAATAATTAGTGGAAGAAGAGAGAAGAAAACAAACCAAATGATGCAAAGTCAACCATTCACCACCCCCCATGAGCACACTGATGCCCAGCCAGTTCCTGAGCAAAACATGGTTTACCCTTCTGAACCTTCCTGTTTCCCCTTCCATTGCTGAGCATGGTGTTATATGGTATGCAATATCTCTTTGATTAGTTTGGGTGATCTGCCCAGTTGTCTCCCCTCCCAACCTATTGCACAGCATTCTAGTCTATTCACCTGGGGAAACAGAGTGAGAAGCAGAGGAATGCTTGACACCGTGCAAGCACTGATCAGCAGAAGCCGGAACAGTAATGTGTCATCTAAATTGTTCTGGTCAAAAATCTAAAACTCAGCCTCATATGAGCTGCCATGAAGAAAATTAACTCTGTCCAGGTCCAGTACAATATATATATATATTACAGAAATAGTAATTTTTTTCCGCTAGCAAGATCAAAGTCAGAGTTTTTGCATATCTTTTTCTATAATAGCTGATAAGCAATTAAAAGTAATCTAGAGGCTGCAGTTCCTTGCTCTTCTCAATGTGATTGCAGAAGAAACATAGAATCACAAACTAAAGCCTTTGCATGAAAAAGTTTGCCCTTTCTAACTTTTAAGGGCAAGAAGGGTATCACAAGCTATTGTATGAAGTGATTACTCATATGGTTCCACACTTAGAAGTTACAGAATACCTTAGTTCTTAAAAATATATCATATATTTTTGCTTCAGTGTACTGAACTATCTGCTTATAAAACTGAATGACAGTCTGTGCCCAGGTACTACATTTGAAAAATCAAATTCTTTTTGGCCAAAAAAATTTGCAAATATGATACCTGATGGAGGTTTTTTTGTTTGTTTCAAATGATATCTGTCCAAACCCCTTGAAAGCACATTAAGGATCAAAGTGTTTTGTTTCAGTAGTATAGACCTGATAAACAGTTGTATATTGAAAGTCTTCTTGGAGGCCAGTTAAAAATCAAGCTTTCAGGGACTTTTTACCCCATTCTAAGCAGAGTTTCAACTATCCTGGCCCTATTTGCAACATGTAGTGTTTCCTCAACATTCTACTCGCTCCACATCCTGTAATCTGTTTTTGATCTAAAGCCTACAAACTTGACATATTCTGAAAATAACAATATTCCCATCACCTTTCCTTTTTTCCCCCATGGATATATGTCTGAGCTCCCACTGCTCACAGCAACTTGTAAAGCTTTGTTTTTGCTGACAGATGTTATACAGAACTCAGTAAAATGTGGTGTCTACACAGCACAGTGGGAACTTGAATGACCCCATGCAGATAAGCTCATTTGCATTATGAGTTTAAATTAATAACTTGTAGGAAGATGTTTGAGCTGCACAAAATTATTTACAATACCTTTGATAATGCTCCCTGAAAATACGGTCCATGGAATATGCCACTGTTGTTCATACTAAGGAACATGGTAGAAAAAAAAAAGACTTTACATCTGAAAGAAAGCACCTTGGTGCAAACACAGAGTTTAAATACTTAAAAAGCTCAAAGACTGGTTCAACTATGCAAAGCAGATTACTGGCATTATGGTCAAATAAATATAAACCTTGAATCAAGGACCAACCTTTAGAAAAATCAGTTTTCACATATTTGTTTTCTTAGGCAAATAAAGACTGTCCCAGAGGAAACTCACAATGCTTTTAAGTTCTTTATTTCCTTAGGCCGCCTCTACCACATCCTCTGTCTTCCTGCACCATTCTGAAGGTGTGATCAAAGTTTTCCCTTACTATGCACTGAAAGAGAGGGACAGGCGTAATTGTGTTGGGCGGAAAAATTCATTTTTATTTAAAACTTCTGAAGAAACTTCCCTGTGAGCAAGTAAAGGCTTGCTCAGTAACATTATTGATTCCTATCAGAGATTATTGCATCTTCTAATGCACTACCAGGTAGAAATTATACTTATGCACTTGGGGGAATTACAATAACAATAGACTATTCAGATGGCTCTGTACCCAGGACTAATAGCACATAATAGTAATAATGGTATATTATTTTATATATACACTAATAGTGTATAGAAATAGCGAATGCAGTTTTTGCATTGTCTATGGACCATGTTCTTCTGATATTTATAAATGAAGAGAAACAAGTGACAAACTGGTTAAACAAAATATTAAAAATCCAATATTTTTTAATATTTGGCACTCCTGATGCCTGGGGTGATTGTGCAAAGATATTTGTCTCGTACTATTGCTATACAAATTCTACTAATCATAACAATTCACAAAAAAGTTTTACACTGAACAGTTTATGGAAAATATCTAATTTGGCTGCCATACTTTAAATCACTGACTCTGGTTCCTCTTTCAGCCTTTCTATCTTTCAGCTTTTCTGCATAAAATACTTTCATATTTATCAGTCACTAAGACTTCTGAAGTCAGTCAGTTAGTATTACTGTTTATTTTAGTAGAAGGAAAGACCTTTGGTTGCTGTCTGTCTCTACAAATGTTCACAATGCATCCTTGGTTAAAAAAAGATCATGAAAATAAATAGGGTTTAACAAATTTTTCAAATTGTTCACTGAATATTCAGCATACTGTTACTGCAAGTAACATGGATGTTTTATATCACAACCCTCCATGCTAACATTACTCAAAGATAAATGGCCTTGATAAACCCTATCATATTCACACTTTGAGTATAAAGTGTTGAAATAAAAATCTGATAAGGCATAAACTGTTGAAGTAGCATGTTATTTTCAACATTTTATCTGTCATTTGCCATTTATTTCAACACTTTATATAGTACATTAAATACTCATCTGTCAAGTAAGTGTTTGAAAGCCTAAGGACATAGAAATGCCTCTGATCAGCAGCACACACTGGGGCACCACTGGTGGGTCAGAGATCATGAGAGGAAGACTGAAGTAGCTATGAATGTTGCAGGGCTAAAGACCACAGGATCTGTGGAGATCCATGGGCAGCAGAAGTGAGAAACAGCACTGAGCAGGTTCCAAACAGAAAGGTTTTTAGGAACAGCATGGAACTAGCTGAGGATAGCAGGACACAGACATATACCTTTTATATAAGTGTATGAACATGCAGTGGTGAGGTCACAGCAGGTATTTGTGGCAGCCTGGATAGCAAGATGTGTTGCACTGACCCAGTCAATCTTGCCTATTCTGTGGCCAACCCTCTCAGTTCTGTGCAATGGAAAATTCCTTAGACTGTGCCATCCATGCTTCTGAGGCGCATTGCCACATTTTGTGCAATATCACAACCATTTCAGAAAAAAGAAATTGGTTTAAAGGATTTTATGGTCAATTAAGGGCTTGTCTACCTGATAGTTAAATTAATTTGAGATCTGAATTTAAAGTGTATTAGTTAAAGTGCATTGAATCCTCGTGTGAGCGTCTTTTGAAGTGAAGTAAGTGAAATAGTGCCACTATATTTTTGAGGCTGCCTGCAGGACTGTTTAATGTTCTCTAAATACTATACTTCAGAGTCAGACCTTTAACTAAATCATCTTTAACTAATACATCTTGATGCCTTTGATTCAACACTCTTGAAAATAAGCTTTTCAACATTATTTTTGGTGAGCCAGATTAGAGAAAAAGGTAGGTGTAGGCAGGACAGTATTCCCCATTTCTTCATCTTCCAGAGTTGCATGAATACTCATGGTATGAGGGAAGGCAGGGAGGTCAAAAGAGTGCTCTGTGGCTCTTTTCTTTTTCATTTCCTTAACGCTTTCTGCCAGTCCTAGCACTATCTAGTCCAGGACCCAACTCAGCTACCGTAGACCTATTGTGTGTGTGTACCCACCTGAGTGCCTGAGGCATGAGATAGTTGAGCAGGTTCCTAATAAGCTGGACTCAACCCATGGCTCACAGGCTTTGTGAAGAGGTGTGTTCTCATGACACATGTACGTATATGAGATAGTAATATTTTCTGAGGATTAAGTGGGGGATCATGCAGTGTTTTGACTAGGTTTGAGTACTGGTACTTACAGGTACTTTAACAGCAGCTCATACTGTTTTCCTGGCAGGACAAACAGAACTAAGAAACTCCCTCTCCCCACTCCCTAGAGTTTCAAGAGTAAATTGTATAGGAAGGAAGAGCTCTTTTATCCTAAGGGTGGATATGTCTCCATTAAATGGTACTAAAAGCATACATTCATGGTGTGGATGTGGTAAACTACTGGCATAGGAAAAGAATAAATAAAACAGCAGATGCTCTACAAATGCTGCTTGAGCACACTTCAGTGTTTATCATACTTATATGGAAATTCAGTGCCAACAAACTATTACTTGGCTACTTCACAAACTGAAGAAAATTGAAGCACATAAACCAGCCTAATTTAAGACTGATATTGCAAATAAAGCA